GGGGGAGGTTATAAACGCTAGCACATGTCGGCACATGTCGATATGTTATTCGTGACCCTGCTAGTGGGGGAGGTTATAAACGCTAGCACATGTCGACATGTTATTGATAGAATCGGTTCGTTGAGTGACCCTGCTTGTGGGGATTATACACCAGCAAATAGTGACCCTGCTTGTGGGGATTATACACCAACAAACAGTGCGCCTGCCAGTGGGTGTTAGACGCTGGCCGTGACCTATAGAGGAGACGTCTATTTCGTTCCTATATTGTATCCGTTTTTCGTGATTGCACATGTTGGCATGCTATAAGTTTAATTAAGGGCAATCTATATTTTACTTACTGAGTTTATCTCATAGTTTTCCTTGTCCACCATTTCCAGAAGTGAAACCGAAGACGGGGAAACCACGGGAAGTGACGAGTTAGAAGGCTAGCCATTTCGAGATTGAGCATAGATTTAGAAACAAATCATGATCTTGTATTTGGAGACTTTATTGGAGATTTATGATATTAGAGCAAATTATAAGATTTGATCTTCAGATTTTGATGGTATCAGATTATGATATGATAAGTTCCGAGCCTTGTGCATTTGTGGGACCTTCTCATGAGTGCACGGCGTCTGTCGCGCCTCGAATTTGGGTTTTGGGGCATGACAATGTAGCAGCAAATAAAGTGGGGATAAAACAGAAAAGAGAGCTAATTTCTGTCAAGTTCTAGTAAGATTTCGTGTTGGAATTTTCGATAGAATTTACACCCAGAAATTGACTGATTTGGGTTGAGTGGTCAACAAATAATTGTAGCCCTATGTCTTAGTGTTCTATAGCCCCAAGAATTACCTTAATTTGATATTTACAAAGAGAGTTATGGCTAAAATACTAACACAGGGTTGGGCTCCCAATTAAGTCTGCCTACACGAATCAAACTGGCAAGAGATTTTTCACCATGAAAACAACCTAACTAGGTTAAATGTTCAACATAGAAGTTGTAAGGCTAACTCTTAGTTTTCTATAAAATCAAAAATGGACTTAATTCGATAACTACAAAAGGAGTTGTGAGAAAAATACCACTGTAAGGTCATGCAGTTCGAATTTGCAGCAAAAAGAGGGATCAGTGCTAATGATGCTGGATTATGGGCAAAATCAAAGGGAAAACTATAGAAACACTCCCAAAATTGAAATCCCTAAATGATTAAAGTTAACCCACTTCAAATTAAAGATGAAAAGGTGAGCAATATGTCAAATTTCTTACTAGAAGTGCTAGAAAAATGATAGCCTCTCCTCACACTTGACATGGACCAGAAAATGGAAGGATACCAATAGCAAGATCTGGGTTTTTATCATGATTTTAAGAATCATAAGCTCATAAATCCCTAAATCAAACTTGGAAGGAAGAAGAACTAAATCTCACCTTGTTTTTTCGACAAGAATGTGCTGGGCATAGGCAAGGGTTTGGGGAGGCAAATTTCGGGTGGGGGCTAGGGAAGACAACGCAGAAATGGGCTGGAAAAAAAGAAAATAGCCTGAGCCCCTTTTAAATACTAGATTTCACTTTTAATCCCCCTTAGGTTTGTGAATTTTAGCTATTAGGTCCAAAAATAATAATTTCTATCACAAAAGCCCTTAACTTAAATTCTAAGGCCTCAGAAAATTTTGGGATATTACACTGGCTTTGGAAATCTGACTTTAAAATATTAAAGAAATCTTCAAATAACTTGACCTTTGTGCATTTAATGCGCTCTTATAGCCGGCTGCAAAATCAGAGTTGGCTTTGCGTCTGTTTTTCGCGCACACCAAACAACGAACTTGAAATTGTCACTTGTAGAGCCAACTGTAAAATTTGTAGCCAGCTCTCTGCATTTTTGCCTCCCACATCTGGCTGTAAATTCTTTAATTCGACTCTGTGCACATTTTCAGCCTTTTTGGTCCTTTTTTAGTGCAATCTTATTTTACTTACTTTGCAGTCTTTTAGCAATTTAACTACACACTTAAATGAACCAATTAGTCACTCAAATGTGTTTTGTAATCATCAAAATGATAGTTACAACAAATCCTAATAAAATATGATGACTCCAAAAATACTTTATAGATATAGATTAGTTAGAATTTGTAATAAACTTGAGTAACTAATTCAATTCAAACAAAGAAACTCAGTAAGTTTAGAATGATCTAGAGTAAGTCTGTTTTATAAAACATATTAGATGCAATCCGTCCTACAAAATTATTTACAAGTCCTTGAAAAGTAATATAAAAATAAAATTATGGGCATTTAAATAATTTTACAAGATGGATTGCATACAATCTGTCATGTAAAATAGTTTTCTAAAGAACACATTTAGCAATATAAGAATAAAAACTATTTTTATGATAAATATAAATTTAAGGATTAAAAGATCAAAAGAAATATAGTTAGAGAACTAAATATTTTCTTATAGAACAATAAGATTTCTATTAAAGATAACAGACTAGATGAAATTGAAGTAAATGTGAAAGATAATAGATAGGATTGAAAGAATTCAAAGATAATAGATGAAAGTGAAAAGAATATAAAAATTAATAGATGATTTATTAAATTAAGTCATTGCAAAACTCTAGATTTGGGGCAAAGTTACTGTCAAGTCAAGTCTCTATTGTTAGTTATCTCAACATCGATCTTCTGACTTGTTAGATTTTAGCCACCATCGGTCTACCATCATGGATGTTAAGTTTGTTAGATTAGTTTAATCATCTATCACTCTATTCTTGTCTGTGTAGTGTAGATATAATTTATTGAAAATTGATCGTCTCACCTCTTAGCAACCATAAATTTGGTTAAATCTCTTCCATCATCTATGCATTCATTCATTCATCCATTTACATTTCCAATATGCTCTTTAGATAAAATAGTTTAAGTATATCAACTCCAATCTTTGTTTTTTGTTTCTTGAAGAATTTTTCTAAGACATTCATCCATTGCAAATTCTAGCTTTTCTCCCTCACATTTTATCATGTGCAAATATTTTCATTATATTTCATAGGTTGATTCTTAAATTTTTAAGGCTGGTTGTAAAGTTCAAAATAGTTTGATGACAATTCTGTCTAAAGGAAAAGAATTAGAAGTTAAAAAGGGTGATGGGGGTTATTAAATTGTCATGAGTGTTTCTTTGGTTCAAACTATTATTTTTTTATAGGTTTAAATACCATTTTGGTCCCTCAACTTCTCACTTTGGCACCAAAATTGTCCTTCAACTTTAAAAAATACCAAAATTATCTCTAAACTTTTATTTTTGGTATCAAAATAGTCCTTTCGTCAGTTAAATGGACATGTGGCACGTTAACTTGCCAGCAAATCACTTTTTTTTTCTTAATTAATGACATGAAAAAAAAAATAGTTGGACATCTTTTTTATGAGTTGTCATTTTTATTTAATTTCAAAACAATATCTTTTTTTTTCATCCACGTCATCTCTTCTTCCTCTTTCACTTTCTTTCTCCTTTACCTCTCCTTTTCCCTTTACCTCTTTAAACCTAGATTTGGGTTTTCTCTCAAACTTCATCTTCTTCCTCCTTCCTTTCCCTATTCATCCTTCTTCTTTCTTCTTCTTATTCTTTCTCTCTCTCTCTCTCTTCACCCCCCTTCTTCCTTTCTTAAACCCAAATCTGGATTTTAGAAAAACTGCATTCAACACACCCATGAAGACTAGATTTGAAGACACCTAATATTCCCATTCAACAGCAATGGCCTTAGCCAGGGCCAAAGTGGGCAACTTGAGGAGCCTCTTAAAGGGTGTCTTTAGCATTCGGTAATCAAGCATCACCAACCATCCAACCTCATCATTCGACTCTCTGGTGGTCACTTTCTTATAGAATCTCTTCCCCACAATCGACCATGTCATGAAAGACATTGACATGGTCACGAAAGACGTCGTTTCACTCTTGGAAGTAAAATTCAGACTCTTGACGTATAAACTATCGTCTTTATCCTTGCCCTTGTCGTCAAATGTAAATGATGAAGATGTGCCATCCTTCTGTGCCTCATAGGCAGCAGCAATAGAGATGAGATACCAAGAACGGAGTGCAGTGAAAAGGTTAGGACTTCTAATTGGTTTCATGGTCTTGATTTGTAATACCCCAAAATTTCTAGAGCATTAAAGTGTGAGTTAGGGACCTAATTGTGAAGAAATATTATTAATGAACTTAATGGCAAAAAGTTTCAAAGTTCAGGGACTTAAAAGAAAAGAAATTAGGATAAGGATCAGCTGATATTTTTATTCCTTTTCTTCCCAGCCATACACGTTTCTGCTCTGCTCTTCTTCTTCGTGCAGCCCGACGAGCTCCCCCCAAGCCACCGACTTCTATTTCTTGAGGAAATTGGTAACAGGCTTGATTTTTCCCTTCCTTTTCTTGATAAAGAACTGATTTTAGGACCTAGAACCCTCCCTTTGAAGTAGGAATTTCTAGATCTGTTCTGCTCCTCCTCCCCTGTCCGCCGGTGCTGCTAGGTACGAATTTCTGGGCATTTCTCTGGTAAGATTCAGCCATGAATCCCTCTCTTTAACCTTGAATTAGGTTGGGTTTACTCTAATTTCCTCTTGTTCCTTCAATTTTGGTAGTTCCCGTGACATCCCTTCCCCTTTCCCGATTTCTGCCGAGCTCGCCAGATCCGGCTTCTATTGCTGAAAATATTCTGGTAAGTTAACAGCCCTCTAAGCCTGAAATTTCATCAATTAATTACTGCCTTGTTTTGTTGAATTTCATCAATTAATTACTGCCTTGTTTTGTTGAATTTCATCAATTTGTTGCTGCCCCGTGTTGTCCGAAAACCCTCTGTTGTGCTGCCCGAATTTCTGCAGAAATATGGAAGAATTCGGTAGCATAAAATGGGTTTTGGGTTGCTAATTCGTGTAGAATTCTATGCGGTTGTCCCGGGAATCATTTTGGCTGTTTGAAGTTGTTTTTATGCCATTTTAGTTATCCTGAAGAAATTGTTCTGATTGATTGCTGGTAGATGGAAATTTGTGGCAACGAAAATTATGAAAATTTCCTTGATTAGCTACTGCTTTGCCAAAGATGGAAAATTGAATAAAAGTCATGCTCCCTATTGTTTGCCTGTGAGTTTGGGAAGCTATAAATATATGTAAATGTGTGTGTATTTAATTGGTATATATATATGTATACCCAATCCAGATTAAGGCTAAAATTCGGAAAGAAGAAAAGAATAAATAAATAAATGAATATTGCATTTTTGGGGTTTTGCCGGCAACAACAAAGAGGATGAAATGCTTAGTTTTATATGAGAATAAAATTAGAGGTGTTCGGTCATGAGAGATTGACATAAATTGCGATGTTGGGTTAATATTCTAGTGAGGTCTGAACATGTTTATTTGGAATATTAGGTGCTGTTGTGGCTTAGAGCTCTGGGGTCGAGTTTCCTGTTTTATGCGAAGTGAGGTAAGTAACTTATGGTAATGCACTGGATTTAAGGTAAAGCTTTTAAAAGCAAATTTTTTATGGTTTTGAAATAGTGGTGGAATTAAACCCGTTTTACACGAGCATGACTGATTTGAAGTGAAATTTTTATGCTTTTCATTAAATTGAGCATGCCTACTTGAAATTTAATTGATTGTCCTGATGATCTGAAAGTGATTGGTGAATTATGATTTTCTGTTAACTTCTGCCTGTTTTGTCTCTGATATGGTCATGTTATTCGTGTGCCCGTTAGTGGGAGGTTTATAAACGCTAGCATATGTTGACATGTTACTAATAGAACTGGTTCGTTTCTGTTATCCTGCTAGTGGGATTATATACTAGTAAATCGTGTGCTTGCCAGTGAGAGGCTTATAACACTGGCCATGACCTATAGAGGAGACGTCTATTTCGTTCCAGTACCGTATCCGTTTTTCGTGATTACACTTGTTGGCATGCTATGAGTTTAATTACGAGTTACCCATATTTTACTTATTGAGTTATCTCACCTCGTTTTTCCTTGCCCACCATTTCAGGTAGTGTGACCCCAGACTCGAAAATCAAGGGGAGTGACATGGTAGAAGGCTAGCCACTTGAGATTTGACATAGATTCTAGATATATATACCATGCTCTTGTAAGTTAGATTTTAATTGGAAATTTTATGGTATCAAAACTGATTTTGTTGAGTAAGTTTCGAGCCTTGTGCACTTCTGGGACCCGTCTCACAAGTTTACGGCGTCTGTTACGCCCTTGGATTTGGGTTTTGGGGCGTGACACATATCACGCCCCAAAACCCAAATTTGAGACGCGACAGACGCCGTGCACTCATGAGAGGGTCCCACAAATGCACAAGGCTCGAACTTATCATACCATACTCTGATACCACCAAAATCGGAAGATCAAATTTTATAATTTGCTCTAATATCATAAATCTCCAATAAAATCTAGCTTACAAGATCATGATTTATTTCTAAAATCTATATCAATTTACAAAATGGCTAGTCTTCTAACTCGTCACTTCCTGTGGTTTCTCCGTCTTGGGTTTCGCTTCCTGAAATGGTGAACAAGAAAAAACTATGAGATAAACTCAGTAAGTAAAATATGGAGTGCCCCTTATTAAACTTATAGCATGCCAACAAGTATAATAAAAAAAACGGATACAAGTACGGGAACGAAATAGACGTCTCCTCCATAGGTCACGGCCAGTGTTATAAACCTCCCACTGGCAGGCTACAGAAATTACTAGTGTAAAATCCCACTAGCAGGATTACAGAAATACTAGTGTTTAACAACTCTCACTAGCAGAAGGAACCGGCTCTACAAAAATACATGTCGACATATGCTAGCGTTTAACTCCCACTAGCAGGGTTATCAATAACATAACCACATCGGAGACAAAACAGGCAAAAGTTAACAGAAAAATCATAATTCACCAATCACTTTCAAATCATCAGGACAATCAATTAAATTTCAAGTAGGCATGCTCAATTTAATGAAAAGCATAAAATTTCACTTCAAATCAGTCATGCTCGTGTAAAACAGGTTTAGTCCCGCCACCACTTCAAAAACAAATCAAAACATGCTTTTAAAAACTATACGGGCATTACCATAAATTTATTTACCTCACTCGTATAAAACCGAGCACTCAATCTCGGTGCTAATTGATAGAATGATCAGGAACCTAATCAAAATACCCCAGAATTAATACCGCACTACCACAATTCAAAGTAAAATCATCATTAGGACTATCCCTAATCACGATGCTATTCCTATCAATCTCCACATGATTGAATATCTTCAAATTCATTCTTATATCACAAACTAATCATTTAAATCCCCGTTAATTGTTGACCCTAGGTGTGTGAACAGTGCTTATGAACAGTAACCACAATGTGAACAGTAACTCCAACTTCCAAAATTGCCCAAACCATTAGCTAATTCACGAGATTTTCTCTCCAAAAATCACAACAATCTAAATCAAGCTAATTTACACTTAAATCAAGCTAATTTACACTTAAACCAAGCTTAAAACATGTTCAAAGGCTACCGGAATCCCTCCCTATTTTTCTATAAAATTCAGACATCACAGGGGCAGCCAATCCATGGACAAAATTCAACAATTAAGGGGTAAATTAGGACTTAGATGGGGCTGCCACTTACCAGAATTCCAACAAGCAAACCGGACATGGCAGGGGGGAAAGAGGTCGGCGGCAATTTGGAGAAGAAGCTCGCGGCCTACCTCAAAATTAAAGGAATCAAGAGCAATTAAGGCAAACCCAACTTAAATCAAGGCTAAGGAGATGAAATCATGGCTATTTCTTACCTAAAAATGCCCAGAATTTGCACCCACAAGCTGCAGCTCACGGATAGGGAAAGGGGAGAAACCGAGCAGATCTGGAATTCTCTGCAGGAGAATGAAATTTCTGGGTTCTAGAAGTGTTGTAGAGCAAGAAAAGAAGGAGAAAATCAAGCTTCCTACCGGTTTTCCTCAAGAAAATGTCATCGGTGCTGGCTTCTTTTGTTCGGCGGCAGGGGGACGGGAAAGAAGAGCAGATGCGCGGGCTAGAGAAGAAGAAAGAAGGGAAAAGAAAAAGAAAAGAAGCCATCTTTATCCAAATTCTTTTCCCTTTTTAAGTCCCTCAACTTAGCAAATTTTGCTATTAAGCCCCAGCATACTATTTTCTCACAAGTTACTCACTCACTTATTTATCTTAGAAATTTTTGGGGTATTACAACATGATTATAAGGGAAGTTACCATGGATTTCTTTGAAGCTAAATTTAGAAGCTTGAATTGGATCTAAATCGAGATCACTACTTGCTAGGGTTTATCAAAGGTAGACAAAAGCCAAGCTAACTCAGTGACTAGGTGAGAACAAAATTTGGCTAAAGAAAACAACTTTTTAGTATTTAACTATTTGCACCCATGAAGAAAACAATGATCAACTTCATCACCAACTCCCGTCTCCTCACACCCATGGAGGCCATGCCCATCCCGCTCTTGGCAGTCCTATATGCAGCCTTTGTACTTGCAAAACACCCATCAAAGTTCCAAATCCACATCAAGCAAAAATGGATATGTAAACAATAAGAAAGCAATCAATCGGTTGCAACTGATTACATGAGAAAACAAGAGCGGCGGTGGTAGCGTTGAAAAAGTCGAAGAAGGTGGCAATTTTTCTACAATGAGATGGGTTTGAAAGAGGAAGAAGAAGGGAGAACAGAGAGAGAAAGAATAAGAAGAAGAAAGAAAAAGGATGAGCATGGAAAGGAAGGAGGAAAGGAGGAAGAAGATGAAGTTTGAGGGAAAACCCAGATCTGGGTTTGCAGAGGTAAGGGAAAAGGAAAGGTAAACGAGGGAGAAAGTGAAAGAGGAAGAAGAAATGATGTGGATGGAAAAAAAATATCATTATTTTTAAATTAAATAAAATGCCAAGTCATAAAAAAAAGTGCCATGTCATTACTTAAGAAAAAAAGAACTGATTTGTTGGCAAGTTAACGTGCCACATGTCCATTTAACTGACAGAAAGAATGTTTTGTACTAAAAATGAAAGTTTAGGGATAATTTTGATATCTTTTAAAGTTGAAGGATAATTTTGGTGTCAAAGTCAAAAGTTGAGGGACCAAAATGGTATTTAAATCTTTCTTATATGATATATGAACTCTAAGCTTTTATTTTATTGTTCAATTGCTATAAATTATGAATCTTATTCGCTATGACTTAGAAAATTTGTTGAAGTTTATATTATTTTATTACTTTTTTTTTTTTTGCTATTTATTATGGATTATGGTATTGATTACCCTCATTATTTGTACATGAGTTGGTTAGTTTGTTTTTATTCCTAATTAGAAATAATTATTGATTTGGTAATTAATAAGACTAGACCCTCTCTTTTTTCTTCTTTTTTTTTTTTTTTAGGAAACATGGTTGAAATAGCACCATAGAAACAATTTTTGTATTGCAATATTGAAGCTTGATTTTAAATTTTTAGTTAGTTAATAATTTTTTTTTAAAATATTGTCATGAATTAATTAGTTGATAACATTTTGATTTAATAATATTGTTTTCTAATATCCTAAAATATTGTCTAACAGAATATTTCAAACTACACTTAAGCCAATGTCTTTCAAGAATATGGTAGTGTTGATTTGGAAGCTAGTTGTGGATGCCATGGGGGAGTTGGTGTTAGTATTGGTGCAATCACCAAAGAAGAATTTTGTGGAAAACAATAACATAGATTTGTATTTGGAATATATAATTTTATTTTAAATTTGGATAATTCATTTTTACTTTGAGAATAATGGAAAAAAGTAGCTCAAATATTTGAAAAATAAAAAATACGACCTAATCTGGCATTGTGTGTAATATCCCAAATTTTTGGGAATTTTATCAATTAAGTTAGGGGACTTATTTTGGGAGAAATATTGTTTTGGGGCCTTATAGATAAAAACTCCAAAGTTGAGGGACTTAAAAAATACGGTCAGCTGCTTTTTCTTTTTCTTTTTCTTTCTTTCTTTTCTTCCTCATCAGACCCGCGACCTGCTCTTCTTATTTTTCTCCCCGACAAGCCCCCCCAAGCTGTCGACAATCCTCTCTTGAGGAATTGGCAAAAGCTTGCTATTTTTCTCCTCTTTTCTTGTTCAAGAACAAGATTTAGGGCTTAGAACTCCCTTTAAAGCCAAGAAATTTCCAGATCTGCTCTGCTTTTCCTCCCCTGTCCATTGGTGCTGCTAGGTACGAATTTCTGGGCTTCTTTTGGTAAGCCACAGCCATGAACTTCATCTTTTCAGTTTGATTTAGCTTGGGTTCATTTTAAATCTGTTGTTTCTTCAAATTTTGGTAGCCCCGTGAGCTTCCCCTCCAACTCCCGCCGCTGCCAAGCTCGCCAGACCCGGTTTGCTGGCCAGAAATTCGGGTAGGTAGCAGCTCTCCCAGTCTGGATTTTTAATCCATTAATTACTACCTTGTATTGTTGCAATTTTCTGTGTATTGTGGAAGGAACCCGTTAGTTGCTCCCCCCCCCCC